CTTGTATCCTGTTCTCTTCATTCTCCCTTGCTCCCGAAGGGATGAGACCAGTGGAGTATCTTAGATGGCCACTCACAGGCTTTTAAGACCCCAGACACTACTCACCTCACCTAACAAATATTTATCGAGTACCTACTATGTGCCTAGTATAGTTCTCGACTCTGAATGCAACACTAAACAAACACACAAATCCAAGATCTTGTGTAGTTTTATAGGCCATAAACAAAACAAACCATAAACAAAATTATTAAATAAATGGAATGTTAGGTAATATGTGCTATGGAGAAAAATAAAGCATGAGAAGAAGACAGGGAATATATAAAGGGCTCAATTTTAAATATGGCATTCAGGGAAGAAATTAAAATTTTTTTTTTTTATAGAAAATTTAGAAAACACAAATGGGCAAAAATAACTCAATAAAATAATCCATAACATTTTGGTATGCGTCCTTCATTCTTTTTTTTGGTACAGATAGAAGGAAGACTTGTTTGGTGGTGGTGGTTTATGTTTTGTTTTGTTTTTACAAAATTGGGATCCTACAATGCCACTATCACCATCAACAGGGATGGTAGGATCCCAATTTTGTAAAAACAAAACAAAAAAATACATTTGTAACATATTTTTTTATCTTAATAATATATTGTGATCATTTTTCCATGCCACTAAGCCCTGGTGGTGGTGGTTAAGAATTTGGCTGCTAACCAAAAAGTCAGCAGTTCAAATCCACCAGCTGCTCCTTGGAAACCCTGTGGGGCAGTTCTACTCTGTCCTATAGGGTCGCTATGAGTCGCAATCAACTTGATGGCAACGGGCTGTTTTTTTTTTTTTTTTTTTGCTTGTTTGTTTGTTTGTTAATGTGTCCTTCTATAGCAGTGTTCTCTAGGCAGGAGGAATAAAGAGGATCTATCAGAATCACCTGGAATATATTCCTGAGCCCACACCAGGCCTAATGAAGACTCTTGACGGAGAACGCAAGCAGACAAAAGTAGTGTGTAAAGAAGTGCTGCTAATAATTCTAATCTATACAAGCCTCTCCCTCCTTTAAATAGCTCCTCATTCAAATTTGAGAACACCTATTCTAGAATAGTATTATTAATGGAAGTATTTCATTGTATGACTGGACCTTAATGTATTTAACCACTCCTGTGTCATTAGGCATTTAGTTGTATTCATTTTTTCATTATTACCAATAGCTTTGTGATACCATTAGCAAGGTGTCTATTTCCCCACAGCCTTGTTCACTCCAAAAATTAGCTAGGATTTTTTTTTTAATCCTTTAAAATTTGATTGTCCCAAAATGGTATTTCATTCTTTTAATGTATAATGCTTTAAGGTTGCACATGACGGTTCATTGGACATTTGTATTTATTCTTTTGTGAATAGCTTAGTATTTTTCTTTTTTCGATTACTAGCGTGTTTATCTTTTTTTTATACAAACAATTTTACAATTAAGTACAGTAATATTTGGTCATATACACTGTAAACCATTTTTTTAGTTTATCATAATAATAGGCAAACTGTTTCAGCAGAGGAATTTCACAAGTTTGCACATACCGTATTATTGCAAAACCAGATAATGTCCCCTTCATTACCAGTGTAGAAAAGTATTGATCCACCATCTTTTTTCCAGTATTTATCGGCTATTAGGTACCGCTGTTTAAAAGTTTTATTAATGTCAAATCCAAAA